CCGTTAAAGTGAAAAACTTCTTCCTAATGTTTAATCTAAACCTGCCCTCTTCCAGTTTACATCCATTCCCCCTCATCCTGTCACTACATGCCCTAGTAAAAAGTCCTTCCCCAGCTCTCCTGTAGGCCCCCTTTAGGTACTGGAAGGCCGCAATAAGATCTCCCCGGAGCCTTCTCTTGCCCGGGCTGAACAGCCCCAACTCTTTCAGCCTCTCCTCATAGGATAACTCATCCCAGTGGATAACTCTGTATGGGGAAGAAACTGTGAGTCCTTTTTGGGCATAGTTGCCTCCATGCAAACATGCCTCTGGCAAAAGCTCTCCTGGGAAGAAGAGAGAGTACAAGATAAAGCATGTGGAGCAGCACTGACCTTTTCTCTCTCGTGGGCAATGCACACAGGATGCCTGAGGTCCTGCCGGGTCAGGCCTGGTGGAGGCTGTTAATAAATTTTGGATTAAACAAACAAATGCAGAAGCTGTTCCTCGTATTGTAAGGCATGAAGTCAGAGTTGTGGACTTAAAGATCATGGTTAACCAACTAAAGCCCCCTTCCCATCTACAAGCTGCTTCTCCTTGTGTTTGCAGCACCTCTCCTTTGCTGAAGGAAGGGACATGCACCAGGAATTGCATTGATAAGAGGATGATGTATGTCGCTAATTGAAACCACGTGCAGAACACTGCCTGCTCCCCATGCATGCGATACGGGGAGCCAGCTGGTACTAGCAAAATGCTGCAGTGTGCAAGAGTACTGACTGACCTTGCATTAACAGAGAGGGACCTTGAACTCTTACAGCCCACAGAAAATTCAAGAGTGGATTCACTGAGACAGAAAGATAAAATAGATGCAGAGCTCTTTCAGCACTTCCCTCCATTTGCTTCATATCATAAATATCAATACAGATATAGAAACATAGAGGTAAACAGTTTGTCCAGCTTGTCCTTTCCATATGAATGTATTTCTGTTGTGAAAGGCTTTACGTAACTTCTAACAGCAGATTGCAAAATAATGCCTCGGTTATGGAAGGAAGCCACCAGCCATTACATTGCATTACTGTAATGTAATGGGTCTCTGAGATGGACTATATTTGGAAAGCTTGCTTTTATTGTAAACCTTGTACCACATCCACTCCCCTGGCATCGATTTCTCTTTGCATTGTCCAGAGACCAAAGACCATGAGGCCAGAATACCAGCTAGACCTGAACACAGCCATTGGGGTTTTGGCCTAAACCAGAAACTCATGAAACAAAAGTGCGCTCTTTATTTTAAGGGATACAGTACCAGTGACAGAACGTATTCAAATGGATGCTGATGACCGATCAGCTGAAAGGTGAATTTCTCATTAGCCTAGAGCAATTGACATTGTAATTAATTGCTTCCCACACTTCGTTAAATAAAGGCTGCTGCAATAACAACTGCTGCCATGATTTTAATTTTTTAACCGAACATAGGGAATAGACAAAAGAGAATCTGTATTTACTTTGTTTTTCTTTCTGTGCAAATGTCACATTGCTTTCATGTTGGCAATGACTGCAGAAGTGCTGATTCAATTACTTATTTACATAATCCCTTCAGATTTTTCTCTTATGTCATTGTTGATAATGAAAAGATTTTCTCAGCTGAAAAAAGGAAGGGAAGCGGGCAAGTTCTGAATGTGAATAGGCTGAACTGACATAAAAAGATGGTAATTTGCATTAGTAAAAAATAATCATATTGCAGATGATTAAAATTATGGTAAATACTCTCTACCCTACCTGCCCTGAGGAACATCCACCATATGACAGTGAATGCCTGTTCAGCTGCAGAGTGCGAAGCAACCCTACACAAATTGCTTGACACAGCACAGTAGAGTTCAATGTTATTACTATTTAGTGCATAAAGTTATTTTACAGGGAAAAGGTTTTAAAATACTCTTATTCGCATGTGAATCAGTGCAGTGCAGTAAGGAGGAGCAGAGACACAGCCTAGTGGACCATTGGCTACAGGGATGATGCGACTTTGGGAAGGCTCCTGCGACAGGAAAGGAAAAGCAGAAGCCCCCTCTGCATGTACAGCGCCTGGAAATATAAAGCTCTTTATAAGCTATTTTTATAAGATGACTGAGCAGGAAAGATACGCCCCTGGAGTGGCTTTCCCCCCCCCCCCACACCAAGGGATGCACCGCTTGTGCTGTGTCCTTCATTGCACAGTCTTGCCTTTTGTTCCCAAAAGCCCTGCTCAGGCTGTGCCCCAATGGCCATGGGGGGTTCGCTATGCCCCACAGCTCACGCTCTCAGTGGGATGAGACCAGGATTTGGCCCTCCCCAGAGCCTCAGAAGCAGAGCCTTGGAATGATCAAAGAGACTGCCAGCAGCTCTTGGGGGGAGACTAGTTGTGTGAGTCTTGAAGATGGAGACAAGTATGATAGAAGCTACAAAATTATAAAAAGCTCACTTGTAATTCAACACAGTGCACTGATAGCAAAGCACAAGGTTCAGCTTAAAGAGGTCAGTGTGTGGTTACAAGTCTCAAAACAAATCTTGCTATTGAAGCACATTTGATATTATTTTTAAAAAGCAAATTAGATGTGAGAGCTCAGCTCCATTAACTTGAAGAGGGTTGTTCCGGTAAGGAATGAGCTGCATGCCAATAAAGCTCGGACTCCACAGACAAACCTTCCAGAGCTCTTTTGAAGATGGAACCCGTCTTCAGCCCTTCTGGAAGATCAAATAACTGAAGAGCAGCTGTAAATAGGGTTGTTATAGCCAGGACAATCATTTAATACTTTTTTTTTTCTTAAAATCACCCTTCTTTTGCATTTTAAATTTTTTTCTGTGTTTTTGTTTGTTTATTTTTTCCTGTGGTTTAACAGTATTGCTTCTGATACAGTGTGATGTGAAATAAATTAAAAAAAACCCCAAAACTCTAAAAAAATCTAAATGTTAAGATAAAAACTTCCAGTACTTTTTTTTTTTAATAATTCATCCAGAAGTTTTGCTTACTAAATCACTGCTTACTGTTTTCTAGGGGAAGAATGGACACATCTCCTAGATGAAGTAATCTTTACCTCCTGCAGCACCAGGAGCCTGCGGCTCACAAGCCCCTGTTTCTTTTTTTGGAGTCCCTGGATTTGAGGAAGCTCCAAGACTGGGCTTGAACGTCCCAAAGACCATTCCAGCCACCTAAAAGAAAGTGTATTTATTACCTGTGTATTAGAAGTCTTTGAATGTGAAAGAAAATTAGTCTTTCAGACTACCTATTAGAAATCTTTTCCTAAACTCAGCTGTTCCAAATGCAGTGATGCCTCTGAAACTGCATGTTATTTACTTCAGCTCAAAAGTCAATCCATGTTTTTCTAAAGATTCAGCATGTTTTTCAACTCAGCAGTCGATTTGCTCATCGCAGACTATAAGCGTGGGTGGTGAGGAAGACACAGAGCCACCTTCACGCTTCAAAACACTTTCATTGCAGATACAGTCATTAAACAGACAAATTGTTTGGATAAGGCTGAAACCTGATGTATGCTCATTATACTCTGCTGGCAATTTTCCCTGAATTTTAAATAAAGGTGTTTTGTGTTTCCATAGTAACTCAAGCTCCTTTACTGAGATGCCTGATGCACCGGTGGTATTACACAACTCACCGTATTAAAACCAAGTGTAACAGCACAATTGAAAATTATGCTGTATCTAAAGGATTACTAAAGGGTATCTAAAGGGTTCATATGATATTACAGCTACTAACTAGGGGCTGGGGAAGGACAGAGGGAATAGAGCAGCTTTTGATGATGTACAGTGTTGCTACTTAGCAGTTTAGGTCAGAAGACGGATATAAGACACAAGGTATAAAACAGAGGAGAGGGAATAAATGAGCTGAGTCACACAGCCTGCTGTTCCTCTGTGAAGTGTGTCAGAGGGGCCGCAAAGAGTCCGAGCAGTTTCCCCATCAGGGCTTGAGCACTCGCTCGGCACCGGCTCCTGAGCACAGGCCAGGCCGGGTCCGGCCCTCGCACCATCCAGCGGGTTTGGGGGCTCCTACCCAAGCAGGGTAAACCTGGGAACCACTTGACCTCCTGGGTCTCAAGGGACAGCAGCTGGAAAGGCTGCTCCTCGCCAATGCTGGCTGCCCTCCGAAAGGTGAACGCCGCTCCTGGGTGGCGGTGATTAACAACCACACCACAAACAGGGAACACTGCTGGATATTAGTGACGTTTTCTCGGAGAAACATCTGCCGCCTATAAAATGTATTAAGATTTATATAAAACTGGACTACCTGCAATTTGAACGTCTCATCTGGAGCGCTCCTTATTATTGCTTTTAACCAATTTCAATACTTTTTGTGTTTTTCTTCTGAAATACCACCCTGCGGTGAGCGAGCACTATGGCAAAAGCTACTCCATTTGTAGCTCCTTCGTTTACTCTTGTACGTTACACTGAGGGGATCACGCCGGCTCGGGATGCCGCCACCAGCCCTTAATTGCTGCGGGGACAGGCGTTTTTATTGCTATGGGGTTTCTTTAATAAATAAATGACTACTTGGTTTCTTTTTTATAAATTTAAATCCTGAGACATATTACTTAAAAATGTGCTGCATTTGTCCACCCGCTGCGTTGCAGAAAGTGTTTTTAGATAGCAAAAAAAGGACGCAGAGTTCCACTGAGCCCAGCAATTTTCTGGTTACAAAACATTGTGGAAAGTTACGTGCTCATAGAATTTTGCTGAAGGTGTGTTTCTCATGCATTTTACTAACTCATACAGAAACGTCATGAAGAGTTAATGGAGTTAATGCCAAATTACTCCTGATTCTCCAGGTTCTTTCACCTGTGAAGTTGTGTTAGCCATGGCACACAGAATGTAAAATACTAGCAGATCGAATGCAAAATGCTAGCATAGCACTGCAACTTGACATAAATTATGTAGAAAGCCACTCAAGTTAGAAGGAATGGCGTGGAGCGCTGCCCGCCCGTGGGCTCCAGGAGCGGCCGGCGGTTCCCGGGGCGCAGCTGGAGGAGCGGGGCCTGTCGGGATGGCGTCGGCACGGACGGTTGTAGCAATTTATGTCGTTTTGACGTGGCGTCTGGGGACGCCGTCACGCGAAGGTACAAGTGACAGTTGTGTATTCACTGAAAGGGCCTTGTTGGGATGGAGTTGCTGTTCTTGGGGCAGTCCCAAGCACACGTACAGGCTGGGTGGAGAATGGATGGAGAGCAGCCCTGAGGAGAAGGACTTGGGGGTGTTGGTGGATGAGAAGCTCAAGATGAGCTGACAATGTACACTCAGCCCAGAAAGCCAACCTCATCCTGGGCTGCATCCAAAGAAGGGTGGCCAGCAGGTCGGGGATGTGATTCTGTCCCTCCACTCCGCTCTGGTGACCACCTGCAGTACTCCATCCAGCTCTGGGGCCCCCAGCACAAGAAGGACATGGACCTATTGGGGTGGGTCGACAGGAGGGCCACGAAGATGACCAGAGGGCTGTAGCACCTCTCCTATGAAGACAGGCTGTGAGAGTTGGGGTTGTTCAGCCTGGGGAAGAGAAGGCTCTGGAGAGACCTTACAGCAGCTTTCTGGTACTTAAAGGGGAGGGTCTCTTTATCAGGGAACCTAGTGGTAGGATGAGGGGTGATGGTTTTAAACTGAAAGAGGATAGATGTAGATTAAATATCAGGAATAAGTTCTTTACTGTGAAAGTGGTGAGACACTGGAACAGACACTGGAACAGGTTGCCCAGAGAAGTTGTGGATGCCTCATCCCTGGAAGTGTTCAAGGCCAGGTTGGTTGGGGCTCTGAGCAGCCTGGTCTTGTTGCAGGTGAACCTGCCCATGGCAGGGGGTGTGGAACTAGGTGATCTTTAAGGTCCCTTTGAACTCTAATGGTTCTATGATTCTTGTGGCTGCCTGGGTTGGGGTCAGGGTCTGCCCCGTGTCTGGCCTCACCTTGGGCACTGTGTTCCACTTGCTGGGCGAGCTTTTCTTGCTGGCCCTGTGGTGGCTCTACTGGCTCCTGCTGCCTTACCTGGGTTGGGTGTTTGTGGGCACTCTGCTGTTGGTCCTTCTGGGCTAATAGTTGGGTCTGTAATCTTAGCGTCTCTGTGACTGACTAAGAACATCATGTCTCCTAATACTAAAAGTCTTTCCTATTGTCACAGTACCCGTGTGTCTGAATTTTCTCCTTCTTAATGATAATCATCTGTTTGACTGTTCTATTGCGAGACCAGAAGTGACTTGGTATATAAGTGCAGTCAAGGTTTTCCAACTGACCTATACCCGCTTAGTGTTACTCTGACCTGATTGTTCAGTGTAGAAGTTTATCACCGATAGTTGTGAAGACATTCTTTTGTAATGCCATTAGGAATTGCCTTGAACTTTAGATAAGCCGTGTTTATCTCCTATCATTTGCTCAAGTAAGTTACTCTGACTTAGGTTTGAGAATACTTTCATCTACAATCCCTTGCAGACCATGTCTGTTTTCTCCATAGGGTCTTCAGTTCTTGTGCAATTTGGGAAAGGAAGGCATAATCCTTATACTATCCAAAGTGATTTTTTTTCTGAAATGCAATTTTTCCCAGTAGTGGTCTAAATATTAATTTTGGATGCTACTTCTTTCTCGCTGTCCATAACAGTTAATTCTCACTTCTTTCTGCTCTTGTTGCTTATGCGATTTTTTTGTTTTATTTCTCTAAAACTTGCTTTTACAAGTTTCAATTATTTGTCACATATGCATTGCATTTGTTTTGAATTCCAATTTTGTATGTTTTTTCTCTACCTCACAATAACTTGCTGCTGTTTAAGACAAGAGGACTGTACTTTTTACCAGTCCCCCTAATAGTTTTCCTTACAAAGCTTTTTCTGTTATAGCCAGGGAGGACAGGATTATCCACAGAGGTTTCTTTGCCAGCTTCCATTTGGGGTTAATATTATTTCATTTGTTTTAAGCTTATCACTATGTCTGTTATGTGGTTGTTCTCATAAATTGAATAGTTGAATATACCAACGTCAGTAACTTCTGAATGTGTGTTATTTCTTAAAGAGTGAGCTCATACTCCAGATTTTTCTCATGAAGAATGTGTTTGCTATCTAAAATAATAGCCTTACTTGACAGATTGCTGTGCTTGCTTAGTAATTTTGAAGGGTTGTTCTTAAACTTGAAGGAAATTCTAAGTAAGACTATATAAAGATAGTTGCAAGTAGTTTCTGTTAAATATTACATGTATTACATGAAGAGTGCTTTCTGTATCCTGTTACGGTTACTGATGATAATTTCTTCTAAGCATGTTGTTTACTTTACAGAATTCTGAGGATGTCCGGTGTAAATGCATCTGCCCTCCTTACAAAGATCATTCAGGCCATATTTACAACAAAAATGTTTCACAGAAAGACTGGTGAGTGTGTGTGGCATTAAAAAAACTATAATGAGTCTTACTGGTTAAAGCCTTGTTCCCTAGTGATTATATGTGGGTCTCCTGTGGTGGTGTCAGGAGAAGTCATATCTCTTGCATAACTTACTGGAACTTTTCAAAGTACTCCAGAATTCAGTTCGAGCAAGGGACAAGGCTTGAAATCTATAGTTTTTGCTCTATCTTCTGTTTTGGTTTGCTTGTTTGCATATTTAGTTATTTATTTAGACTTGGAAGTAGTAGAAGGGAAGAGGGTGTTGTAATTTGAATTCGGTGACTTGAAATGGCATAAAGGCAAGGGAGCATGGCTATGGAACTAGGACTCAGGAGTATTGTCTTCTCTTTCTCTACTCTTCAAACCTATCCTATCATTTAGATGCTATTGTTTCTGGAGATTTCTGTTCCTCAGAATTGCAGCCAGAGAGTGCACTTACATGAGATGGCCTGAGCCGTCTAACAACACGTTTTTCCCGGGAGAGGTTTTGCATCTCTGTGCCCTGGCAGTGTAGTATTGTATTGCTTAGGCCAGCTGTGGCATTTGTCAGACTCCTCTCCAAGCTGAGGACTGGTATGCGTGACCAGAGAAGAGGGTTTGGGGAAGAAAGGGAGATAACAGTGATTTGTTAGATTGGTATATCTCCCTTGTGTAAGTTCACCTTGAGTATCATTGTCTATGTGAACTATACAAATGAAACACCATGTTTTAGAGTTGCGTTGATGTTGGAAGTGCTCAGAGATTCTTGGGTCATCCTATAAAACGTGACATACTTCTTGATGTATTGACTGTTCTTCAGTTACATTAAGAATTTATAAAAGGCTCTTCAGTCTGACAAGTAGCAGCAGGTTGGTATCTTGGTTATGAAAATTTTATGCCCCTGAGTAGGCTCATGAAAATAATTATAGGAACGCAATTAGTGATACAGATATGTGTAGAGCTGTGCCTTGACTTATTAAATTACTAATAGGAGAACTGTGGGAAACAACACTGTAAATTTCAATCTGAACTAATAAACATAAAATGTACTGTCCAATCAAAATTACTATTTTTGTCCCACATGATTAACTTAACATTAGTCTTCCTGTGACAAATTAGGTTGCAGTGATGAAACATACTGGGAGAATTCCAGCTGCAGCAGGCATTTCAGAGTAGTAGTGTTACTGGTTTTATTGTTCGTTACTGCTCTGCAAATGAAAATGGATTTTTTTTTCAGCAGTTATTGCTTAGTGTGTATGTCTTACTAGCAGAAGAGACCCTGTTTCCCTTTAAATCAATATTGGTACTGATTGAAGGAAAAATTGGCTTTGCAGGCTTGACTGATTTTTATGGTGCCAGATACTGATGCATACAGAATCTCAAAAACCAATTTTTCTACCTTAAATCTCATTTTGTTAAGATCTTTTCTCAAGTGACCATCTGGGAACGTTTTATGGCTTTGTTCTTCTGTTTGAGATGTCTTCTTGAGACTTCTAAAACGCTTGATTGCTAGTTCACGCGCAATAAAATCGACAAATTTAGTGTTATCGTTTGGCTTCTGCATCAGTGCAAGTGACTTATTGAATAGAACTGGGTGATGTACACCATCCTTTAGGTATTTAGATCAGTCACTTATGAGATGAGAGCCAGATCAATTTTTAGTGTCTTTATGAATTATGTACAGTGTAATGACCACTAACTGCTGGCTTGTCCAGACATAAAATGAAAATTTAATTTTTAATGTTGAACTTTCATGATATTCTCATCTGAATGTTTCAGTTCTTTCACTTGGAGTGGTTCAGCTTCAACTGTTCTTCAGCTTCAGACTGGCAAACAGCGTGTTATGTTAACATTAGCATGGGCTGCGGTGCTTTGACACCAACACAAGCGTTCACCCTTCTGGGCTCAGGCTTGGAACTGTTGCAGGCAATCCCATCCTGATGGACAATGTGCTAGGCAAGAATGGCGATGCCTAGACACCTACAGGGTTAAATAACTTACCTGGAAAGTGTTGGTGCTTGTATTTTGTACTTTGAAAGTATTGGTGTTTCATGTACAGAGGCTGACTGCAGTGGTAGTCATGGACATGGAGGGAGGGAGGACACTGTCTACAAGCTGAATGAACTGGAAATCTGTGCAGAAGTTGCCCTTCTGACTAGCCCAGCTTGCCTTGAAAGAACTGCTTCCTTGGTACTGTTACTGTAGGTACAAGGGAGAAGGTGGTAATGCAGAGGCAGTTGAGTGGGAAAACTGTGTAGAAAAGGATCAGCCTTTTCTACATTTTCCTCTAAAATTGTCATGGAATTGCAATCCAAGGAAACACATCATCAAAATTCTAAGGTTCTGATAGATTTTATACTTCCTAGCAACTTGAATCACTGAACTGGAGAAAAAAAAATTGCTGATGTTAATATTTGATATATTCACAGTAACCGACTTGCCACTGTACTTAAGCTACATACAAGCTTTCTACTATACTTGTGCAGTATGTTGATGCAAGCTTTCAATCATACGAACAGAAATTGCTTACATTATAACTTGCATGTATTTTTGATTTTGTTGCTTGAATGCTGCACTCCTCCACAGAGGAGGATGTAATTCTGCTTTCAAATAAATGTGAAAAATAGGCCTCCCACTCCCCTCCAGAGGATGTGACTTGACGTTCAGTAGTTTTAGTTGTGAAGAAGAAATATGAAGAAAACGGAAGAGATGAGTTGGTGTCTGGCCGTGTGTTTGCAGTGTTGTAATCTGGCCCAGTAGAGTGTTGAATCCTAGGCTGCAGCTGTCACATCAGGTGTTTTATTTTGTTACCTGCTTCTGACTGACATTGAGTTAACCAGGATAAAAGCAAAACGTGATTTTTGTTCAGTCAGTGCTCTGCAGGGACCGTGGCATGTTGACCCTGAACAACCAACCTTAGTCAGCAAAAAGACCAAAACTACCTAAGTTACTGGTGGAAGCAGTTGTCTCATGGCAGCTAGATTTTAGTGCTGTGGTATAGAGTGCCCATAAGATTGTCAGCCATGCTTTTTGGCATGGGACTGGCTTATGTTTTGTAGTCTTTTAAGTCAAATTATGCTTCCGCGTATGTTTTGTAATCTTTTTGGCTTATGTTTTGTAATCTTTTAAGTCAAATTATGCTTCCGCGTCCAGTTCTGAAAACTGAATGCTATTTATTCACTATCTTGTTGCTTAAAGAAACAACCCATCTGACTTTTTTTTTCTTTAATGCCTGTAACTTGTGATGGCAATTAAAAAAGAACTTCTGTTCATGAACACCAAAGAGAGGTTAATCTCCCTTCAGATAGTGGAAGGATAGGATAAGGCTCTTTTGAGTATGATAAAGAAAAGTATATAGCTGGAATTTACTTTCATCCATGATGTCAGTGTCAAGTGATGCATTCGTGCTGGGATTCAAATCCTTGGACTTGTTATGCTAACAGCTTTAATACTTTCACTGAAAAACGTAAACATTGCATTGAGTTGGAAAGGTCTTGAAACTTGTTTAGAAGCTTGTCAATAGCTGAATTTCTTGTTTAAGTAAAATAATTGTGGAGTGGTGATTTGTTTTATTTTTTTAAAGTCTTGGATACCTATAGTTTAGAACAGCTGAACTTAAGCAAAGGTGCCTTCTCAGCGCGTGCAGCTGTGGTCTGCATGCATAGTGGAATAGGTAAGCTAAAACCAACTCAAAACTCACTGAGCAGTTTCTGTATTTCCTCAGTGATTGTCTTCATGTGGTTGAGCCTATGCCTGTCCCTGGACCTGATGTAGAAGCATACTGTTTACGTTGTGAATGCAAATATGAAGAGAGAAGCTCTGTGACAATTAAGGTAAAGAATATAATTCTGTTGGCATATATTAAATGCTTCAACTGATTAGTAAATATGTCTGTCTTTTAGAGAAACATTCTTTTTAAAGGAAAAATTTTTCTAAAGCAGCCTAAGATTTAACTTTTATTTCATTATAGTTGCTCACAATTTATCTTGAGTAGTAACAATAGCATCAAGCTATAGCTGAAGGAACGGGGTTGAGATCCTTTATTGAAGGTCTCCACTTTTGAGATTAAGCTTTACACCTTACTGAAATTCTGAGTGTTCTACAGCAGTTTGTCAAGCTTTAGACTTCACGGTTTTGTTATTATTTTAGACGGCTTCTCATTATTCAGCTGTCTTACTTGCTTACTGTAAATTTTCTTTGTATGTTGGCAAGCTAAAAAGAGCAAAATCATCTACATTTGCTCTAACAGATGATTTCTGTATTCTTCATGTTCTTACCCTATTGGAGCCCTTGAGCTGTAGGCTGGAGTGAATAGACTATGCAGTGCATCTTTTTTTTGTTTTTTTTTCTTTTATAGCACACACCAAGTTGTTTTAAGAGGGATAGCATAAGATTTTTAGCAAGGCCTCCCTAAGAGAAACCGTTTCAAGCTAACATCTGTCTGCCCCAAACTCTTTTAATACCAGGTCGTTGTTTGGTGTTTTTTCTCTGTCAGTGGGTTTTAAGTTGTCTAGTGACACTACCAAGGATCGACAGGCTTATCACAAACTTTCCATGTACTCATCTTTTGATCCTTGCTGCCTGTTGAGATTACCCATAGTGGGGGTAATGTCACAATTCTGACATAAACTGTGATTGCATTGTGTAGGTTACAATCATCATATACCTGTCTATTTTGGGCCTACTTCTTCTGTACATGGTGTACCTTACACTGGTGGAACCTATACTGAAGAGACGTCTCTTTGGACATTCACAGCTCATACAAAGCGATGAAGACATTGGGGTGAGTTCACCAGAGTGCTTGTGTACTTGGGTTAACATAAATATGGGGATGGTTAGTTGTTAAATAACTTTTTGGGAAGAGCAGGTGTGGTGTTTTGTTTTGTTTTGTTTTTTCGGTTAGTTGTTAAATAACTGTTTGGGAAGAGCAGGTTGTTGGTGTTTTTTTGTTTGTTTGTTTGTTTGTTTGTTTTTTTGCCAGGCAGTGTAAATACTTTTCCTGAAGGGCCAGGAAAAGAAAGCTGTGTGATGACTTCTGTGAACCCACACTTTAATTTTTCACTGGTCTAGCAAGTAGTAAGATGAGCATTGCCTCAGTTATCCCAGCTCTAGACACAGATGATTTTCTCAGAGAAGAAACAGAGTAGGGATGGAGGTAAACATATATAGGAGGTACAACTTCTTAAGTGTTAATGATCCATACAGTCTTGCTAGTGATCACATTTATGCACGTTGCCTACTGCCTAGATTTCTCTCTGCAAAAAGGAAGTAGAGGGGTTGCATCTTCTGTTGCTCCAGTTTGAGTTTGTTGATGCTACAAATTCAAGAAGAAATTAGTATAATGAAGTAAAAGACCAATTCATGCTTAAATAATTTCTTAGTATTACAGCTAGAAACCAGAATGTGACAGTGTATTCCAACAGATCAGAACAGCCTTTTTTGGGAGGAGAAGGGGAGCAGTTCATTAGTGACTCATTTTCCTATCATTACTGCTCTTCCTAATCTCCAACACAGTGTTTTTGACTTGGAGTAAAAATGGAACAAAATTCTCTTCAGAACCATTAGAGGAAGGGAGCGTCAGACCTTGTATTGGAAAGAGAGAGACACTTCAGTACCTGATCAGAGTGGATAAGGAATACTGGTTGGTGGGAGTAGGTCATCTGTGTATTGAAGGGGGACTTAGAATGGTATAAAAATGTGGACTATGGCTCTACATCTGATGAATCTGCATACCTGGGAGAAGTATCGCCACAAAGTAATCTGAGGAAAGTTTTCTAAAATGGCAGGTGGTTTGGTGGTAAAGTGTCAGTGTTGAACCACACAAACTGATAAAATAATTCTGAAATCTCAGTATTAATGTACTTTCTACATAGAGACCCCTCGAGCAGCACTGCTTTTACTGATAAAGTACGCGTCAGGTGTGGTGTAACCTTAGAAAGCATTTCTGAAACCAAACCCAGAGTATGAAATGAGAAGATCGCCGTCTGCTTAATCTAAGCTTTTCAGCAGACGTGAGCACTTCATTACTATTGAAGTAAACAGGAGCTAGTAAGATTAATAAATGTTGTAAATCTTTCTGATAATAGCATCATTAAGAATATTTTCACCGTTCCTTCAAGTAAATAGGAAGTTAATAGGAGGAGATAAGTTTGTTCTTGGTGAAACAAAATTATGATGTCAACACTTAAAGTCTGTTTAAAAGCCCTGTAGTTCTGCCTGCCTGTTGCCTCAGTGGCTTCACAGATCTGAAGGTATCAAAAGCGGTAAATGCTATGCTTTGTTATGCTCTGTATCTGTAGACTTTAATGTGAGTTGCACTCAGTTTCTCCAGGTTATTTTTTGGTGTGGCAACTCATTGCTAGTAAACTGAGGAAAGGCATATTCTTTAGTTCTACTGTTTTTTCATCATAAGTGGCCACATCAGCCATCTCGACTTAAAAAGGTGTTTCTGTTCTGCAGGGTGTGGTATTAAGTCATTAAAATCGAGCATTTTCCTAGATAGTAGCTTTTATCAGCTGTGCCTTCTTTATTTGCCTTGACTTCACCACAAAAGTATGTGATTGTTACCCAAGTTTGAGCTAACATTGTCTGTAATGAATGTTCTTTGGACAGAGGTATACTTTTGTGGCCCACTGTTTCTGCACTCTGTGTATTACATGGAGATATATTCCAAATGTGTTTCTATTGACATCTTAAGATTTTCCCATTTTCCAAGTCACTTCTAGGAGGATATTGGGGGAGGGTTGGTTTTGGTTTTGTTTTGTTTTTGTTTTGTTGTTTTGGGGGTTGGTTTTTTTTTTTTGAAAGGAGGGATTTGAATGACCGTTTTTCTGTCTGCATTCTTATAGCAAATTGAGCAGTTTCCTACTTGAGTTAAATGAACTTGTCCTGTGTGCTATACCACAGACAAATTGTATTTATTTTATAGCTTGTATAAATTGTATTAATACCTCCAAATCTGGGTTAGAATCTTCTGGTTGTAGGTGAAAGAAGTGAAATAAGTCCTGTGGCAGAGCCTGTTAACCGCTGAATGAATTTACCTTAAATTCTGGATCCATCTTAACCAATTTCACGTTTTGCTTCAACTGTTATGTGACCCTTACCTGTGCTTGTGGAGTCACTAGTACTTAGAGCTGCAGTAGTGCTTGGAACATGAAGCACTTCAGGTCTTTGCGTAGTTCATGTTGCTCCTTTCCTGTTTATCTTCCTTCTGTGACAGTGAACATGAAATAATTTAAGGTCCCTCATGCGTTATCCCCATCCTTGCCTTCTCTCTGGCAGGTTCTTGAGGTATTGATCCTTATCAGGCTTTGGAAACACTGTGTGCATTGATATTTTTTTTTATTTTTTTTTTTTGGTTGTTGAATTTCAAGCCAGTATGTTTGCTCTTTCTTGTTGCCCATTGATGGCAGTGGCAACTGATGAATGTAAGCCACTTCCATAGAACTTCTTCCTCTTAAATTCTTTTTTCTCCTTGTTATCTACATAGAAATTGATGGTAGCTAGCCTTTGAGCTGAGATGGTTGTTTATCGGGAAAGCCAGTACCATCTACCTTGTCCTGTGCTGTCACTTGCACCATCTATTTTATGGTAGAAATGTGTTGCTATTGTGATTTTGTTTCCCTGTGAATGAAGTGATTTGTCACCTCTTAACTTCCCATTCAGGGTATGTCCATCTGCATAACCTTTTATCATGAGATGATAGCTCTTTGGGTCAGGGATTGTCTCTTGTTTTCTATTAGTATATTTCTTAGCTTGGTGATGCTCATGTGTGACTTTAGGACTTGCAGGCATCACTTCAATGGATATCATTAATGGTGGTCTCTGAACTACTAATAAATATTTTTGAGCTACTCTACACAGAATCATGTCACAAATAAAGTATCCATGATGTAAATGTCTTAAAGTGTTTGGAGGAGGGGAATCTGAAGTGTAGATGTAGAAAAAAGACAGTTATTTAGTACAGGACATAATTATGTTATTTTTCATTATGCGTTGATGCTTTCTGACATAGCTTTAGCAACATGACTTTGTCCAAAACAGTTTGACAGCCAAATAAGAAGTTTACTTCCAACTCCTACTGTTTATAACTTGGTTATACTTACTAGAAGAAAATAAAGCTTTGCAGGAACTGTTGGAAAACAGACAGAGTAAATATTAAACAAGAGCTCAGTTATTGTTGAGCTGTCACTTAAACAGCTGTATTGACACTTTGCTTTTAGACAACTCAGTACAATAGGTTCGGTTTGGTAAACATCAAGAGTGTGTGTGTTTTATATAGAAGCTGTGTGTGAACATCCTGAACTGCCTGACGGTAAATGGCCAAGAGCTGACAGAGGACTGACTCTTTAATTCAGTTTTAAAGTGAAGTGCGTTCATGACAATAACAAGAGGCTCCTAGAACCTGGGTCTCTTCTAAGCTTCTGTCCTACCAGCTGCTAATGGATGCAAGACTGTGGTTCTGATCTTACAGCTCACCATGGTGTCTCTGGGTAGCAGATAATCGTTGGTCTGTTTGGGAAACCTATGGAAGTTACTTAGAATGAGAAATTGAAGTACAGTTCTAACTATTCAAAAACTTGCTTGATCATTATTACTGACCAGCTCGTTGAAACAACTTGTTTACCTTAAAAAAAAAAAAAAAAAAACCCACCAAAAAAAAACCCCAAGAAACTAAAAATAAAATTAAAACCCACCCCTTGGAATGTGACAACAAAAAAGAGTTTAATGTAACTGCTCAGTGAAATTGTTGAGATCTAACTAATGATTTTTGCCATTGCAGGATCACCAGCCTTTTGCAAACGCTCATGATGTGCTGGCTCGTTCTCGGAGCCGCGCCAATGTATTGAACAAAGTGGAGTATGCTCAGCAGCGTTGGAAGTTGCAGGTCCAAGAGCAACGCAAATCTGTCTTTGACCGTCACGTTGTGCTGAGTTAATTGTGTCTCAGTAAAATAACTCCAGGGAAGTAAAGTGGACTAATTGAAAGAGCTGACTTACGTCTTCCTGATCCTGCCAATTCAGAAGGGTTTTCTTGAATGGTTCATTACTGATTAAAAAAAACAACAACAACAAAAAAAAACAACCCAAAAAAAACCCAACCCAAAAAGCACCCACAAAAAAGTATTTGAACTTTGAAGGAATGTACTGGAGTGGAAGCAATTAAAAAAGATTAGTTAAACAAAAGGTAAAAATCTTTAGATTTTCAAATGGCTTTTACTAACAAAACTGAGAAGAAAACAAACCCGAAGATATCTTGGGTTGCCACTGTGGTACCTTATTTACAGTTGTGACTTTATGGTGATTTTTAACTATATATTTCTCTCTACTATTTATGTGGTTAAAAAGTACCTGGGAACACAGTAATTACTTAAAACTCACTAATCACTTTATGTAAAGACCTTTTGTAAATATACTTGGATTTTCTGCTGACTAATGCTAGGTACTGAAAATCTGAATCTTGCATTGTAGTTTTCATATTGGAGAATTAAATCCTGATTGGCTGTATTCGTCATTTGGTTTCTTGCACTCGTACTTTCAAGATGCTTGTATGTCAAGTGATGTTTGCAGATTTAAGGAAAAACTTAAATGGACACTGACTCTTTGAGCTGCATACTTCAAGTACTGTGATGTAGATAAACTCAAATGCAGTGCATATCAAGACAGTGTTGGCATTTTATTCTATTTTGCTTTAATAGCTTAATATATTGTGTGTGTATGACATCTCTTAAATCTTCTCCGTTTCTTTTAATGGGTAAAGTCTCAGGAGTTAGTATATGATGAAATATTTATTATAAAAAAATCTTTCTGCATTTGTCTGGATTGATGGTGTAAGGCACATACTTTCTCTAGCACCTGTCACCTTGGGAGTTAGGTGTATTTTTTTATCTGTGATTCTGTACCCGTCTCTCTTAAGAGGTATACAGTTGCTAGATTACTAACTTTCATATATCCCCTTTGGAATGTAACAATTAAAGATAAAACCGATTTTTGAAAAACAGATGTCTTATCTGTATGTCATCATTTTTCTCCCTCATTACACTGCATGTAAATTCCATCTATAGAAGCCCTTCTCTGAAAACACTTCAGAGTAGAAACATGCACTTGTTCAGTCCTTAGATAAAGGAAAGAAAGGCTCACCAAATTGCTAATTGAAAAGAGTTTTTAATCTCTGACTCTAATTTAGCTATGCATATATAGTTACGTTATTGTCTTACACAGTTTTCAGTTCCAGTGTGGAAGGAAATGGTACATGGAACAGAATTATATGTTGCCAGGTGCTTTTTTGTTTTGGCTTGCTTAGCCCACAGCCTGGGGGACAGAGTAGCACGGGAAATAAACCGTACCTGTACACATAGCTCTGCTGCATCAGGGATGGAAAAACAGTTGCCCCGTAACATTTGCTCTTGACTGCAGCTCTTGTAGATACAGAGCTTCGTTCTCATGTGAGTCCTGTGGTCTTCCAAGAACTGTGTTAATCCAGAGGGAATTATAAAGGGTGGCTAATTGGTTGAAGTACAGCATTCTTTAAATTAAAAAAACAAAACAAAACCACAAGGTGGATTGCGAGGACAAAAAGAAGTATTCCAGACTTGGGTTCAGTTGCTTGTTCAGCATCCTACCCTGACAAGTCAATAACCAATTATGATAGTGATGTATCCAGGGTCCCCTAAAGAAAAATAATGTAACTTGTTTGTTGAAGACATGTCTGTCTACCAGTTTTTAGTAGATGCTCTACCTCTTGGCTGCTTTTCTGATGAGGCCTGACGCTGGTGTGGGAAGGAGGATGCAGACTACAGCGTTGTTGTGGCCCCACACGAGGGCACCAGAAGCAGAATGCTTTCTTTGATGGCTGACAGTCCCAAGAAGACAAGACTGGGTTTATGTAGCCGTCTTGGTAGGAGATCAATTGTTTCTAATCTTACAGTGTCTTCTGGAAGTTTTAAGCTAAACTGGCTTGGTTTGGGATTTTTTTATATGGTTTTACTTTGATCAATAGAAGGCCCAAATAGTGAGATAGTCTAAAATGTCAAGGTAATCCTGTAAAATGTAAGAGTTTTGAAGTTAGGTGTCCTATTTCCTTGCACCTGTACAATTGGACAGCTATATACTGATATACGTAGCATCTATAGACCTATATATATTTGAATTTACAGACTGATTGCTCCATACTGTGTTTCTAAGTTTAAGCAAAACTTTAAAACGTTTGTCTTGCTACTGTTTTCATGTTTTTGTCTTGTTTGCCTCCATAAGTGCTTTGTTAGAGACATTTTATATTATCCCAAAATTACAGGTAGAATGAAGAGTAAATTTGAGGGTATTAAGCTAGCTAATGTGTGTCCTCACCTCTAATCTGGAGACAAATCGATCACAAGTTTCTTCTAAATAAGTGCTGATTTTCTGCGTTTAAAACGGAAGCTACAAAAATTAGTTTGCTTATGCCTTGATGGTAAATATTTAACTAAATTCTGGCTGATTGTTATATTTAGACATTAAAGGACAAAATCCCAATAAATGAAAATACTGCTTCAGAAACTGTAACAGAATAGGTACAAGAAGTAAACAAAGTAAATTCCTGATTACTTTCAGGTAATCTAGTTGTGTTCAATACAGTTTTAAAATTTCTAGCCCTTAATGCCAAGTTTTGTTGCCATCATAGCTGTGGTGTGGGTGGAAAAGCCAAACCAGAAAAGAGCAGATCTAACTGTAAGCTACTTTGCATGTTGTCAATTGACTATAAATTGCAGCCGTCATTGACTCAGCGGAACAAGCTACATAATTCAGGTAAGAGACTTGCGTATTGCTGGATCTAGCAACAGATCTTCACTGAATATCAATGTTTTTGTAAATCACTTGTACCAGCTATTCAGTAACAGTGCTTCCATAGTTTTTTAATGAATTGTGTTTAATATGATCTCTTATTTAATAAGGTGTAAGAAAAATGGAACATTAACTTTTTTTTTTTTAATATCACTCAGCTCTTTTCAGGTATTATTCATCAGTCTTAAAATAGCACATCTTCTTTCCTTGGATTTTACTTTCATCTGAAGATTGGTGAGTCTCTAGTCTTAAAAGGAAAACGATCTTAACACTTGCATTTTGTGCTTCATGCAGGTAGTAAGGCAGTAGATAGTGTTATGTAAAAGAGTTATTATGCAGCCAAAGTGTCAGTACTAAGCAACAAATTGTGTTGGTTTTGGTTCTTGCTCTATAGTGATGTTTTGCTATAAATTTTTTTTTGGTATGTAACAGATTTCTCAGGCAATGTTTTTAAGTTGTTAGCAGTAGAAAGTTTTTAGACAATAACCCAACCTATGTAAGTAGAAAAGGGAAAGATGACTGTCTACTGTTTTTCATTTTATAACTAGCATGTATATTCACCTCTGATTTTCTGCATAGGGGTTAATGTAAGGTGGATGTGTGTTCATGCTTTCAGCCTACCTACAGAAGTTCCTGTTTAAGATGCGTGTGACTTTCTCTTTTGTCTAACAGCATGCTATAAATGAATTCCTAACTCATAGGATTTTTGTTGTGAGACCCGTTTGCTTTAGAAAAAGAGAGGACACTAAATACAGAGGCATTTTGATAGAATGTGTTGTTGGGATAGGTCCATACTGAGTAAAAATTCTCTCTGTATTAAACGTGACAGGTATGAAATCATTAGAAAGTGTTTATGTTATGGAGCCATGGTCCAAACATTTGGAACTTTGCACAAGTTTTTGTGAGTATGCAATGTAGATGTTTCTAGTAACCTAGTTTAATGCTCAGGTGTGTTTTCCATTTTAGAGGATGTAATATAACCAAAGTATTTTAGACAGCAATGTATAGATGTGGAAGTGGATAGTGGGTAAGAGCAGTTTTGGATAGGTTCTGTGTAGGCAAGTATTGCTTGCCATCAGTGAGGATGGTTCACAGTAATTCTTTAAAAATTAACTAGTTATTTAAAATTTATTTTTAAGTAGCTATTAAGTAACAGTCATTACACTGATGTTGCTCTTTCGCTGGTTGAATAATGATATTAGGAAGGCACTATAATGTAGCTTCCTATAAAATACTGCAATATTATCTTTCTAGTAAATATGTAAGGGTGACATGAGTAGTTATGCCTGCTGTAATGCTGCTCTGAAGAGAGGGTATGTGGTTTTAGTAGGCCAGTCTGGGTTACAGGTTTCTAGCAGTGCTCCAACAACTATGTGAAGTCCCTTCTTAGTATAATAATTTGTAATTGGAACAATATTACCGGGACGTGTTTTTTGTCCCTTCAAATACATTGATTATTTCATAATTCTCTATCAGTAGGATTGCATTTAGTATTTCGTATCTTTTTAATATGCAGGTGAGTGCAGAAGAAGCATGAGGGCCCAAGGAGATGTCAGGTTTAGCAGAAATTAATCCCCTAAACTTTTTGTAAAACTTTTTATGCGGAATGGATTTAATGCTTGATAGACATGAAGTTAAGATTGAGATCCATTCCTTGCACAAGTTTCCCATCTATTTAAGATAGTATAGTGAATGAGACATCAAATGAATAGAGAGAAAAAGCAGTTTGTCTTTGAAGGCTTTTTGGTATGGACAGAGAGTCTGTTACTGGAATTGTAGATGTAATTTTTTTCAGGGAGGAGAAGGGTGTTGCGAGAATGCTCCAGTTGTTGACCTGCTTTGTTTATTGTCTGTAGAGCTGTAAACTTTGGAGGATTCAGAACAAGCTATACTTATGTGGGGTATATAAAGGTAGATCTTAGTTTCTAAAGCTGAGGTGAAAGGAGACTGCCTTTAGGAAGCTTTAGTGGCTTTATTTTCTTAAAATCTATTGTGAATTTTTTAGTCAGTGTTGCTGACTTGCACCCTCTTGTATTTTCAAATGGGACATTTTCCACTCTATGTAACTGTCTTCCAACATTATTCTAAAATGTCACAAATGCGTTAAAAGTCTCTCGTGGAAAATGCCAGTAATGCCAAGTGTTGGTAAGGCCAGGTGAGTTGTTTTCCTTCTGTTTGGTATGAGTTGTTTAAACTATTATGTGATTATGCATTTCCAGGTTAAATGCAAAACCTAATGGATGGCAAAAGCTACCGTAACCTCATGGACAAGTTGTCCATCTGTGCTGAGACTCAGCGCGTACAGCTGGCTGGACCTTTCTGTGCTGACCCGGTGGTCACGTTTCACGTGTACCCAGAAACACCAAACCAGGTCACTTGCTCTGAAGATTTGTCGTTCCTTCCTTTCATGTCTGAGCATCTCCTTGCGGAGAACTTCTACAGTGAGCCCTGCACCTTTCCTTACCAAATGGCCCATTCCAGTTACCGCAGAAGTGAGTACTCCTGTGGGCCAGCTTTCATCAGGAAGAGGAATGAGAGGGAAAGACAGAGGGTTAAATGTGTCAATGAAGGCTATGCTAAGCTGAGGCATCACCTACCGAAGGAATATGTGGAGAAACGGCTCAGCAAAGTAGAGACACTCCGTGCTGCGATAAAATACATTAGCTACCTACAGTCTGTTCTGTACAGTGATTCTGTGGCAGCAGAAAAAAACGTCATGGAGCCAAGCCAAGCACCTAAAGCAATTAACAAACAAAACCAGTTTTTGAAGACAATCTAAACCATTCCAAACCAAGCAAAAGGTATCCTGTCTGGGAGCCTAGCAGCCGCTATATTATTAGTGATGAGCATGTTCCTAGCACGTCTTGGGAGCAGATCATAGTGCGCGTCAGTATCAGCCCACAGAAGAGAGTTCTAATTTTGCAGATAGTAACTACACTTAGATATGGAAAAGACAACTGGGGAAATCGCATCTGAATGATCTAAGTTAGTTAATTTATGGAAATCGGAAAACACATCTAAAATTGTCACCAAACCAAAAATGTAATACCTATATGTGTGAAGTAACTGTATGTATCATCACAACCTGCATGCTTTAAAATAAAATCTTTCCACTGATGGGGCTGAGATTCCTCATATTTTCTGTAACGTTACTGGTTTACTCTCACATGTGCTTTCTTAAAAGATTTTTGGTTTAATTGCCAGTATTTCTGTTAAAAGGTCTTTTCAGAGGTTCCCAGGAATGTCATCAGATGCAGCAGAAAGGATAACTTACTTTAAAAGGGGGAAAATAAAAAGAGGAGAGTAGCAGCTCTCTGAAGCATAGGAAAAGCATAATGTCTTGCAAGTACTGTTTCATCCTTTTCTTATTAATGATATTTTAATCCCAGTAAAAACTGTTTATTTAACCTAATTTCTATTGAAAAAGGTATTCTTCTTCAGTTCTAAGTGCTCTTAAAATTACTAGAACAGCTTACACAATGCACAGTATAAAGAGGGTTGGCACAGTCTTGGCCTTGGGGGAAGAAAGTAATCTGGAACAGAAATTTTCAGGATTACTGATAGTGGTTGAGGTCTGGGGTGGTCTTCCCTGACCTCCCAGTCTTTTCCTCTGTACTGTTGATGCTTTCAGCTAAGTGGTCTACCATAGATTTATGTGAAGATGGTGAAGAAAGTTTAGCTCATAATTGGCAAAGTGTTCTTAAAATTTGCTGTATATAAGGGAATTGTATTACTACAGCGGGGGAGGGACTTTTTACTAGGGCATGTAGCGATTGGACAAGGGGGAATGGCTTTAAACTGGAAGAGGGCAGGTTTAGATTAAACATTAGGAAGAAGTTTTTCACTTTGAGGGTGGTAAGGCACTGGAACAGGTTGCCCAGAGAGGCTGTTGAGGCCCCATCCCTGGAGGTGTTCAAGGCCAGGCTGGACGTGGCCTTGGGCAACATGGTCTAGTGGGAGGTGTCCCTGCCCATGGCAGGGGGTTGGAACTTGATAATCTTCAAGGTCCTTTCCAACCTAAACCATTCTATGATTCTATGATTCTACTGATGCTAAAGAATAGTTCTGCTGACAGCATGAGAGCAGGCAGTCTGTGGGTACAGCAGAATATACAGAAAAGGGTTACAGATTTCCCAAGTGCTATATCCTTGTCCCTAATTGCAGTCATCCTGTCTATTATCTTGTTTTTATAGGAGTGAATTGAAAAATGCCTACAAAATGCAATTAAGTTCCCCCTCCCCGCCTGAAAAAAAAAAAAAAAGAAAAAAGAAAAAGCGTTAACACTTGTTAAGGAGAAAATGAAGATTAGGGATCCCACAGGTAGATTTCTGCGTTGTATTCTGGCATGTTTTTGATATGCACTTTGCAGGGAAAGGGTAGAAATCGTGAGTCTTTCCCCTTTATTGTGAAAAGGGAAAGTTTGTATAACGATTTGACATCAGCTTGTCTCAGCTTCAGCCTTTCTGTCCACGCTTCAAACCAATGTATTTGTCACAATCTGTGGTGGTGGGCTTTTTTTTTTTCTGCGTCTGAACTGTAGCTTGGTACAATGCTATTTTTTGCCCTGCAGTAGTAGGCAAAAAGCCTAGAGGACACTGCACCCTCTTATAATTCCTTCTCTGCCCCTGCAGTCCTTCAGTGCAGTATCATCTAGATCAATGGGGAGTTGAAAATTGAGCGGATGCGTGGCAGACAAATGGTCCTATCTGTAGTCGCTTTCCACTGGTTTTTAACTGGCAAGGTCAGGGTGTCCCATCCTGGTGGTAACGACTGGCAACCTCCCTAGCAACTAGGAAACACTGGCAGCAAACGGCTTCCTGCGTCGAACAGGCAAAAGGGCGAGATTCCTGCATCGGGACTAAATCCAAATCGACCGGGTATGGTGTTAGCAATAGCTGGTAAGTTTGAAAAGCTGCTGTGTCCAAGTACTTGGAGTTATCCAGGAAAAAAAATAATATCTCAGAATGTTGCAAAATTGCCTTTGTCAGTGCCCTGTTTTGTACAGAAATAGTGGACCTGGCTCTCAGCAGTGATAGGGCTGAATGGGTTTTAAATGGGCTTTAATGTAGAATTAATAGTTGCATTCCTTTGCAAAGTATTACTGATTCTGGCTTGCTTTGGTTCATAAGGGGGTCTTCATAGTTGTGAAACAAGTGAATATATTGTGTTGATTTCCTGACTTAAAGACGTGTTTTGCAGCAGTTAATCCGCTCTTCTTGCTGGGTTTGGTGTGCTAGTTTTCTGAAACTATGTATATCTGGGAGTCCTCATAAAAGGAACTGCTAGATCATATCTCTTAGACGAGAGAAAAAAACATTTAAACATAATATGAGTGCTTAAACTGTATTTTGTAAAGTAAATTAGGCACTTAAATTTTATATGTTGTTGAATTTCCATGCACATTTTACCCTAAGCATTCTAAACATTTCTAAGCAATATTAAAAAAAAAGAAAAAAAGAAAAAGGAATGGAAGCTTTTCTACTACATCTTGTCAGATTACCAGAGATAGCATCACATCATCAGTCTTCCCGTGACAGCCTCCGAATAGTTATCACTTGTCAAATCTGAGCGTCTCATTCTTTCTCATGGCAAGGCATAATCCTACTGTTGTAAAACATGACAGGTCAGCTGAAAGATCAAAATATTTCTTCTTAATACATCACTATAAATAAAACAAGTAACAGGCAACTGTAATCTAACATGGTGTTCAAGAACTGTCAGTTTACTCAGCTTGTCAACTTCCACTGTAGTTTCAGTCTCAGCTTGTAAAATAGGGAAAGTTTGGCTGGGACTGTGTGCAAGAAAGCTTTAAAGGAGAGTAGGTATAAGAAAAGAAAGCTGGATGTTACAGAGGGAAATGAACGTTGCAGGGAGGTGAAAGCTACTGCTTTCCTGGGGATGTTCACAGCATTTCTGGTTTCCTTGGGTGTTTCTGTCCCTCTGCCACACAGTGATCTGGATGACTGAAGATCACTGAAGTCAGTGATATGGGTTCATCTGGCCAAATGCCAGTCTGGATATTTTGAATTCATTCTTTTTTAAATAAAAATAAACAATTAATAAAAGCTACTGAGTTCTTGCGGTACACTGGAAATCATTTGATTGTGCTGGAATTTACCAGTACATTGTCTTCTCTTTTCAACTACCAACAGATGATGGCTGAGTCCTGTGGGTAGCTGCATATGCAAGAATGGCTCATTCAGAAGGGTTCCTGCCTACAAATCGCAGGTATTGCAGTGCTACACCAGCTCTGGACAAGTTTTCATGCCCCAGTGTCGTACCTGCTGTCAGCCCCTGCTCCAGGAGCTCTTTTGTAGTGCATCCCGCCTGGGTCGCCGAGCCCCTCATCCCCCAGAGGTAAAGTCAAGTTCTTGTTTGAGTCTGTGATTTGTTCTTTTTCATGATATCTAGTAGGACAAAACAGGCTGGTGTGTCAGATTAATAAATTAGCAACCTGAACATCATTTGAGCTTTCTCTTCCCCTGCACTGACAGTTTTTAGACATTATTAACTAAAGTGATTTGCTACCCTGGAGATTATGAAAAGCAAAGCCTGAGTAAACCTCCTATCAAAGAAACATTCCTTTAATATTATTTGGATAAATAAAAGCTTTTTGCCTTAGCAGCCATCTTCTGTGAAATGTTTCTAATGCTCTGTGACGGGATTATTTTTCCTGTATTGAATTTGAATCTGTCATCAACCAGCAGATTTGTTGTTTACTTTTCTACTTTGCTGTTCCCTGAATGCCTGATATAAACCATCACTACAGCGCGCTTGAGCACACCTACGCTGTGCTCTGTGCTGGAGACGGATCCTTTCTCTCTCCTGGTGTTAAGGGTTGCATCGGCTTACCATGTAAGCAGGAAAGGAGCTAGCGCCGGTAATGCTGGCCCAGGATTCCGGCGTACTCCTGGCTCACTTCCTCTAAACCCGAAAATTAAGTGATCAGAGTAAAAACAGGCACTGATGTTGTTTCCCCCGAGAGCAAGGAATTGCCCCAGCACAAGCAAGTTTTCTGCTTCTTCCCACACACCTTGGCCTGTGGGAGTGCTACAAAATGAGGTGGAATGATCTAGTTCTTAAATCTTACAAAATCTTCCCCCCACCCTGACCTACAGAAGCTGTTTCTCTCAGTGCTGACCCATTTTCTTTTCTTCAAGGTGCCAGTGCCTCCCCTCCCCTGGCCCAGCGTGGAAGAGGCTGAGTACACTGGGGAGACCAGTGGGCTTAGACAGCAACGTCCCTGTGCTGGTGAGAAGGGAACAAGATGGGTTTTATTACCGTGGTACAATAAAAGAGGAGATAGAGGTGAGCGGCAGTCGCTGTGCGGTACCTGTGGGTATGTGTAATAAAGTGTGCGGTCCACGAGTTGTCCTCGCGCACCACCAGAGTTTAGCGTTGCGGTTTTGATTTCGGATTAGATTAGAGAACAGATCACTAAGATAGGTTATGCTCGTGATTATGTCCATTCATAAAGCTCCTGATGTGCCTAATTCCAGGCTGTCCGCGCCTCCTGCTGCCTGGCACGCCGGGTGAGCCTCTCGTGCGCCGCACAGCCTCGGGTACCAATAAACTCGTAATGGTCAGGTCCTTGCTCTGCTCAGCCTCCTGTATTGAGTCCATTTATTGGAGTGAGCAGGCGCGTTTCGGGGATCCGCACCTCCTGCAGAAGATGGGTGCCCCTGCAACGGTGGGTTGGTGCACCTCAGTAGAGCTGTCTCTCTCCTGTTGGCGCTGGGCTCTGAGCCAGGCTCAGACAGCACGGGTGCTGCTGGGAGCGGTGTGAGCTGTTGTTGTGGGTGGACACACAACCATCAATAGCACAGGAAAAGCGTTAGTGTTTTGTGTACACACTTCCAGCTTGAGGCAGCTACAGACCAGTGGCTCGGTGTCTTTTCAGAAATGTTAGTGAAAGCTTTAATTCATTAGTTTGTTAGCACTTCAAACTCAACAGAAAAAAGAGCCTATTCTTTGTTAAGAACAGGGAAGTACCTCATTTCATTGTTGATGGAAAGCCTCTTGACAGGCCTTAATATAGGTGGAAAAAAAAAAAAAATTCCCAACAACCCCCCAAGAAGCAGAGTTAGTCTTGTATGTAATGAGGAAGGATGTGGGCATGACCGAAGAACAGGTCTGTACGGCCTCGGTGTCCCTTGTTATCTGGTGCACATGGCGTGGTTTGTGAAATCCAGTTGCACTCTATCTATAGATTTTTCTCTTGGGGAAGAAAATACAGGTCCTAGTGGCAGTGAACATGTACATATGCTTCACTCATCATGCTTTCTGGTGAGTCTCCTGGTGGCTTTTCTGGCTGTCTTGTGTGTGGTATTAGTCTGGCATCTGTTTAGTTACTGTTCAGGCTGACTTGGTGATTTGACCAAGCCACAGAATGGCCTCCTGGTGAAGGTTACGTGACCTGACACATTACAGACTGTTTTTCAGAGAAACTATTCTTTTGTTTCTGGTAACAGGGTGACAGAGGCATGTTCCTGGTAGAGTTTGCCAAACCACTTGTGTCACGAGGAGGGCATCCAGTGTGTGTGCAAAAAACAGCGAAGGATGACATCCTGGAATACGTGAACACCATGAAGCACTCCTTACTCCCTGGAGACAACGTGCTGGCACCCTGGGAGCCAGATATGGCCAGGTATGGCCCAGGAACCGTCCTCACAGGAATTGAGACAAGGGACCCCTTACGAGGTAAGAAGGATGCTGCCCTCTCCTTGCTTGCCTTGCTTGGGAACGATAGTGAGACTGTTGGGGTAAACTCTTGTCGTGGTGTTACTGCCAGAGAAACACCAGTGCACAGACTATAGTTTAGCATTGCTTAAGGCTTGCAGGAGCTGATGGGACTTGCCGATGTCTATCTGCATGTAACCTCATCAGTCTGACCCTAAGGAAGTTGTGACCCATAAAAATGTCATCCTCTGTGTCTGCCAATGTGCCATTTCCCATCTGCTCGGACATGGCTGTCTCTGCCATGTGAAGGACAATGGCCTTTTCCTGAGGGATCCAAGTGAGGCAGCTCTCAGGAAGCACCCATCTGTGCTCGAATGCTTACATTTGTATGGAATGGTACATCTGGCGGTGATTTTTATCACCCAAGCGTAGGAGATTTGAACAGCTCGTTCATTTTTCCCATGTCTGGCAGTCAGGATCCACTGACCTATCAAAATGCTATTCTCGAAGCAGCACTGCTAACTTGGGCTGCAACAACAAATGTTACTCAGTCAACATTTTCTTGTTCATCTGATGACAAATTGGGAGGAAAGATGCTGCCAGGCCTGCTGTCACACCAATGATGCCCAGCGGCCCATTCCACCCCCCAGGACATTACGGTAAGGTGTTACAGAGAGGGGCAATAGTTGATGCTTGACAGGAGTAGAAAGTCCATAAAGCTGCAAAGCCTGATCTGTATGTGTGTGCTGCCCAGGCAGGCCAGCTGCTTATGGTTGCTTACCTTTTCTCTCAACAGCTTCAGAAGATGAAGAAATTGTGGTCCAGTTCTGGAATGACAAGAAAGTGAAACTCCCGCGAGATGTAGCTCTGTGGATCCCTCCTGGCCTGTGGGAGAGGATTGTAGAGATGATCCATATGCCCTTCACCAGCAGATTGAAGCCCAGAGAAAGTCCAGACACTAACTCTTGTATTTTTCCATGCAGTCCTAAACCAGCCCTGATTCCTGTTTGTGCTGTACATAGCCTTGTTAAGCACTGCCTGCTCTGCTTACCCTGCTGGCCCCATTTCCACTGTCGCTGTGATGGTATATGCTATTTGACAGCATGTGTAAGGTGCATCTGCTGCTGCCATCCCCACGTTGATGCCTGGTGGCCTCTTCCATACAGGTCTCTGGTCTTTCAGAGAGGAACTGAAGAGGCAGAGTCCAGCAGCGAGCCCTCTCCACACCTTCTAGAACTGGAAGGCCCAAACCAAGAAGAACCAGCAGTTGTGGCAGCATCTTCCCCCTCTTCTGATTTGGAATGTGACCTGGAGCTATTCCCTGCTAAGAATACTGTGGTGGACAGCGCTGTTGACAGAGACTCTGGCTGTCCTGAGAAGCCAGGGTTAAAGGTTTCGGCAAGACCAGAGGGGAAATACTGGAAAAAAAGCCACCACAAGTCCCATCCCAATAGTTCAGGTACCTTTTAGCTACCCCTCATGGGGAAGAAGCAGTCAGAGAGAAATAAGCAAACGTATTCTGTGTCCCCTTCATCTGGGCAGTGACTTCGCCTGTAGTTAATCGGTATCAATGTTATAAATTTTTATATTTAGCCTCAGATACAATATTTCCCCCTCCCCAACGTTTCTGCTGCCTCATCTTGCATGCTAGCTCTTCTTTTAGCAACTTATCCCACGGAAAACTACCAGAACAATGAATCTCATTTGGAAGCACCAATATCCCTCTCTGAGTTTCTTCCCCATCATTTTCCTACACTTTTAATGATGCTAACATCTTCATTAACCGTCAGAGCGACTCCATGCAGACTAAATCGCCTGAAAGAATTCCTTTCAGGTTTAAAGAGCATTTTCCTCTCTTCTGAAAGGAATTTTTCTCCATTTTGGTTCTGGTTTCACTCTTAGATACCATTTTACTCCTTCCCAGGACTTGGCAGTTGCAACAGGACATGTACAAAAGGCAAGCTGGAATCCAAAGCTATCTCTGTTGGGGACGTGTCCCGTGTTGCAATGTTTGAAACCATCAAGCAGTCTCCCAGAGGCCAACTGACAATGGAAGAAATCTTAAGAGATCAAGATTTCAAGCTGTCATTGGGGGTAAGGTAATCTGTATTAAGACTGTGTTTATGTAAGCACATGATTTGTTTGAATGGAAGAAATATTTTTGTTAATGGTCTGGAGGTTGGCTAGAAAAATACATCGTTTCTAACTTAACTGCTTGCGAAGGCCATTCACCAGTTTTGTGATAGGCAGAGAACTTCCCCACTAATTAAAAAAACCCCAGACCTCAAAAACCAAAACCTAAAATCCCCAAACCCTAAGGAGGGGCTGAAGCTACTTGGTAAAATGGAAAAGATTGTGCCAGTAACTGCGTGAGCATTTAGCAATGCAGATTTCAATTCAGAAACCCGCCAAATGCCCATTGCCAGCAGCCCAGTGAAGTCCTGTGGAAGTCGGACCTACGTGAGTGGCCCTGGACAGGGACAGCTGTGACTGTCAGCAGCAATAAAACACGAGATTCAGTCTAGAAAGGTGCTGCGCTCTGCCAGTCACGCTCCGATAGGCATGATCTCTATCTCTGAAAGATAAAAGGAGCTATTTTTAGTAAACAGTCTTTACTGAGCATCTTCTCTTACTCCCTCACACCAAGCAAGCAGTTTAACCAGCAGATCCCTACCCTAAAGCTAGGGGATACAGAGCGAGCAAACTGTGTCACAGCTAGGAACGAGCACAACACCCTGTTTCTTAGGCTTGGTTTCCATTGGCCGTGATCCCCTCCTGCTTTAGAAAAACTTGAAAAAAGTCATAAACGAATGCCAAAGAAAGGACAGAGAAGAGGAAGCAAAAAAGCTTGCAGGAAGAAGGGGAAGATGAAAGAGAATAGCAGAATGAACAGAAACGCTGTTCTACACAAGAGAGCCGGGGTACAGTTAATAAATTATGTATCAGAAATCAAATATTACATCTTCTGTATCTTCACGCTCTTGCTGCTGTGAGCTGACTGCAGAGTAAGACTTTGAACGTGCTAACTTACAGGATTTTCTTTAGGAGAAGATTAATCCGTTAATGACGTCTTAGTGAACAGAGAATATACTGGAATATATCTTGTAGTCTCAAAATTATATGCATTAATTTTAAGCAGATGCCTACCAACTCATTAACTGTATGGTTCCTGCTTTATTATTTAAATAATCATACTTACACACCTTTGTAATTGATTTCCTAGGAATTTTTAGGCCAGTATGGAGCTCCAGGCAGACATGCTCTATGTTAGCAAGCGTCACAGCTGTGCACTGAAGTAACACGCTTTGCCTTTTGGTAAAACTAAAAAGAAACCAGAGTGGCTTCATTCTAGCCCCAAACCAGCAGCATGAATCACAGCAGTGGATGCAATAGAGAGTATAATGACATACTTTTATTCCTGTAAAATAGCCCTTGGTGTTTTTAAGCCCAGAAGATACATAGCTACTCCTTGAGATAGCTGACGATGTTTTATCATATAATACAGATTGCATCGGAAGTCACTTGCAACAAACAAGTGAAGCTAGAGAGCAGGCTGCCCAGAGGTGCGCTCTGTGGGGCTGATGCCCTCCCACTGCAGTCACCAAAAATCCTCCTGACTTCTGAAGGAGCAAAGTTTGGTCAAAGCCTAACAGCTTTTGAAAATCCTATGGTTTTATTGTAAGCTTCTGTGTTTCCGCAGTAAAGCTTGTACTACCACAGAAATTATACCGTTATTAAAGCTGCGTGAGGCAGAGGTACCTATCTTACAGCCAGGAAAGCAGCAGTTACAAAGACATTGATGCTTTTTTTTAGACTAGACTTCCAAGCGATTTGTTTTCTGTCCTCCAGGAAGGAGGTTTTGCAGCATCAGAAAAACAAAGATATAAAAAAGCAAGAAAGAAAACAGAGTCAGATGACAAACGTCAAGCAAATTGCATAGGAGACAACAAACTTGATGATACAGAATATGTCAGAAAAGCACAGACAGAAAAAACAGCAAAGAGCTCACTTGCAACAGAGCAGAGAAAGACCTGATCAACCAGAATTCAATAAATGTATAACTGATGAAGTCAGGAGCTGCAATTTCAGGTAAACTGCTTATACTATATCAGTGTTACATTTATTAAGCAAATCAAGTTCTGATTTAGGTCTGCGTAGAATATCTTTATGGATAACTGTATGATTTTAGTAACTGAGAATCCATTTCCACCCACAAAAAAAATCAGCATTCTTATTCTTTACTCCAAGGTGTTACATTAAATTCCTAATTATTTGGATTTGACTTTACAATTCTGGAGAGATCAGCTAAACCAGCACGAGCACTAAAAGCCTTAACATGCACAGCAAAGGTCTAATAAACCTCCCGTTTGTCTAGTTCCCTGGAGTCAGCTGGAGGAACTCAGCATAGCGATTTCTTTCTGTAGAAAGCCAGAAGGAATGGAGAAACAATACAAGCTGACAGCTGAAAATATTTTTTTCAGGATTAAAGCAGAAGAGAAAGTAGCTGGAGGGTAAAGGACCTACTATTATAGATACAAACAACAAAAACGCTTAGAGATCCAGCCTTCGAGTCACTGGATTTTATATTCCCATGAAAATTAACTGAAACCTTAATACCATCAGTTGCAAAAAGATTACAAATATATATAGGTCATGTCACTAATTCTAAGCATGAAATCTGATCCTTTGGGAGAGTTAAGCATCCAGGGAGTCTTGTTAGTGGGACTGCTCGTGTTTACAGCGTACGAACTTGGTCATAAGCTGCAGCGTGCTGTTGCTCAGCAGTACTTTTCCCCTCAGGAAATAGGAGAAAATTCGGGGTACCCTACCGCCTACTGAAAAAGGCAGCTAATTGTTGTTTAGCCTAGGTAAGAGCCTGCAAAGAGACAGGACTTGAAGTGTCAATAGTTTTTGTGCCTATACCGAATATCTGCCAAATATTCAAGCACCTTCCTGAGTTGGGGGTCCTAGACAGTGAATTTCATTTGCATTTTATTTATTTATAGGAATAACAGAAGTACAGGTAGGAGAGACGTGTTGTGAGCCAGCTGTTCTAAAATCACTTCCAGCCCACGGAAGCTAATGTACATCCATATTCATAACACACGGGTCATGCTCTCTGTGGTCAAGAATGTGACACGGATGTTCTGTCTGTGGATAATATAAAAGAAGCTGTCATCACAAAGACTAAATTATGTATTTTATTCCACTGATTGTACCTTTAATTCTTTAAAGCATATGAACCTGGAATCACACAGTCACATAATTGGATTTAAGGCACACAATGTACAAATATTTATAAAATCAGTGTACAAAGTAGGCTGCATATAATTGCATTAACTAGAAAATATTATACAGGCCATAAAAATGGAGTCCCAAAGAGGAGGATACTGTTAAAGTGCTAACAAGAAAAAGATATACATAGTTTATTACATGCATTAAAACAGCCTCGTATTTTATTCCTGTGATTGCCAAGAAGCAACAAACATCATAGAACAAAAGTTAAATCAACACTTTGTCCTGCGTTGACATCTACCACATGGGTTTGTTGTACCATGTCCTCTGAGGTTGCTGTGACAGAATATGTACCAGGAGAAACTTCAATGTAGATGTCTTTGGAAGCTCGTCTGGTCTTTAGTGGGGGGGGAAAAATAAGTGTCATTACTATTTAGTCATCTTAGATTTTCCACAAAAATAAAAATTTTGAATATTACTTTTCAGCTGCTGTATAAACGTACTAAGATTTTTTCAAAATATACAGGCAGCATGGACAAAACTGTACAATGTTTTAGTCAATACAAAAATTATCAAGTGCTATACTCAAAGTATTTCATCTAATGTTTCAATGAATGGAAATAATCTACATGCCGTAACCTCACAAAACTGAAACTTACTGACCTAAACCCTTTTGAACATAAACCTGGAAAACCTCCATACAACAAGGGTGCTCCCACTAATTTGTACTGCGGCACAGATTCCATGTTCCTCATCTTTTGTGGCTTAGAGGTTCCTGAAATTGATTTGGTGAGGTGTTAGGCTTTGAAAAATAAAAAAAGGTTTTCTCCTCGAGGAACAGGAGTCTTCAGAGAGAATGTATGAGGGCCCCCGAGCACAACTGGCTGAGCGAGTGCCACGTGCCTCGCGGCATGCCTTTCCTCAGCACAGGGAATGTGTCAGGAGCACAAACGAGGTGAGACCGGAAGACTCCTGGGATATGGTCGCTGATGCAAATCACAGAACCCTGAAGATTAATCACAGCTTTGATGTTCTGCACCAGTCCAAAATATAAAGTAGACTCTTAACCGGTTATGTGCCAGAATGCTACAATCTGGTTTATAATTAATTGTGCAAGTCTCTGTATGCCCATTCTGCTGTCCACCTATACGTACATCAGGATGGCATTAACCGCTGGTTAATATTCTGTGCCATCACGAAGTCTCCACACCCGGTCACAAATTTTAACCAGCTTGATGCAAAGTGATAAAGAAGTGCTATACCTCAATTTAAAAACAAAGTATTCTATGAACTTACATGTTGCTGGCAAGTTTGAGCTTGACTGGGTGCTGCAGAAGCTTCAGTCCTCTGGAAAGAAAAAGATAAGAGTTTTCTAATGGTACAACACAAAAGGCAAATTCAGCCCCTGAGAGAGGGGATGCTTTATGTCCAGGAAATTTTCCCCTCCAGCAAAGAACTGATATGACACTGATTGGTGCCACCCCAGGTTACTCTGCCCCCTTCTCAACAGAAGGCTCGGATCAGTCGAAGCGTTCATATGCTCATGATGTCAAACCACATACATTAGTGTAAGCAAGTGTCACCGACACCAGCTGGGTAACAGCTGTCCCATGGGAGGGAAGGAAGAACCTTTAATCAAAACAAACACCACCTACTTACCCCTCCTTCTGAGGACTCCACCTCTCTTTCCCCTGCTTGTCTGCCATGGTATCTGCAGATGTGTTTGATTTCATGCTCTTTGCATCTACAGGCTGCGACGAAGCCATAGTACTTCTGGGCAACAATAGAACCAGAGAATATTATGTGGAGAAGCATCAAAGCCATGCTCACAACCTCTGCAGATTTCCAATTAAAAGCAGAACTGCACAGCTACTGATCTTCTGTAGTACTTGGCTGGTTTGTTCTCCTGTTAGGATGAAAACAACGCCTGGAAGTCCAAAGGACATCTGCCTTCTGGTGCAAAACTGCCAGCCCTGATTTTAGATGCCGGTCTCCTGACACAATACATCGGGACTCTGACACCTCAGAACTGAATTCACAAAAATCAGAAGGAACGCTCTGGAAACATCTACCTGATCAGGCTCTCCGAGAAAAGCTCTGGTGGAAGAAGGGATAGTTTATGGATCCTTAATAGGATGTATACGCAAGCTAGGTGCTTTGCAACCTAGCCAGTGAAGACTGGTTCTGCAAGGCACGTGCAGGAGCAGCGCTCGAAAAGCAGAACACGGTAATACTGAAAAATGATTTGGTGAAGAAGCAAAAGTGTCCTCAAGGCTAGTACCAGTAGCATAGCGGTTTTGAGAATTGTATTTAAGTCCACAGCAGCCCTTTTCTGGCTCCACAGTAAAGGGACTTGAATCTTCCCCACTGCAAATTAAATGTTTGAGTACAGCTCTGCTGCCATCTGCTGTCACCACAGAACTCCTCCCAGGGTTATCTTTTTGATCACAAAGTACCAAAATAGCTATTTTATGTCACTTATATTTGCCTTGTCTCTGAATGTCAAGACTAAACACAGAAAAAATAAGGCCAGTAGCAATTCTTATTTCCAAATCCACTGCTGTGCTTTATTCCTTGAGGTTATGCAGACATCAACAGATTTGGTTGCATGTACTGTTGTTTACTGCAGAGCTACATCCCAAAATACATCAAATGCTCTGACCTATTGCATAACGCTTCACAGAGCATCTCTGTCTTACAGGAGGTGAGCTGGATTATTTTACATGAGCTCACAAAGCAAAGAAATGAAATCAAACTTTTGGTAAGAAATGCGGGTAAACTTTGGTCTCTAGTTAATTGTGAACAATTAATTTTAAATCACGTAATTTTAATCATTTGCACTTGGTGGCACTGAAATGCCTAAATGGTTATGTTTGGCTGTAGATTTTTATTTATGCTTTGTAAACTTTATCCAAGAACTTGTGGGTCCGAGAATTCCTCCTCCCCACCCCCCCATTTTATGATTCTTCGTCTCTACAGAAGACAAGCAAAGCAGTACTGTCTTGGCTGATGCACAAATGTAGAAGTCATCCACTGCTTTTTCCCACTCTATTACAGACTCCTAATAGGATGAGTGTCTATATATTGTTATATTTTTGTTTCATCTCGTGTAAAACTCTATTCTGCCTGAGCTGTTTTAGGATTAACTGGTTACTGTGTATGTAGTGCTTTGCAATGATAAAGGAGTTGCTTAAGAGCTAATAATCTGGTGTGTGTTAAACTACTGTTTTCTCTAATTTAATTGAAGACTTAGCCTCTGTTATTAACTCTGCAGACAACGCGCTCCCTGCTGCATGGTGATAACAGGCCGCTGAAGGGCATAGACGATGTAAACTGTGATGGAGTTTTCGGAGACTTTAATGCAGTAGTGGGGCTGCAGGGCGGCATTCACGAGGATGAGCTGGCAGAGGTGGGCTCCCTGTCTGCCGACCCAGAAGAGTAATGACAGCGGCAGCCAGAGCGCAAGCACAGCTGTTGCGCTGCTGTTTCAATGAGCGTGTGCCAATGTGAAAGCCATGGAGCTGTGCATCTCCATGCCACACCTCAATTTCTACCCATCACAAATAAAGATACGGTGCTGCTCAGTAATATTAAGAAGTGATGATCCAGTAGCAACCTCTCAAATTAGGTTTGCTTAAACGATGCAAGACGTGACGTTCAGACATGACGGATGTGAAATGGGGGGGTTAACTCCAAATTCAGAGTGAATGCGTGGCAGAAAGCAATGTCATTGCTCGAGATTCAAACTCTCCCTTACTTCTGCCGCCCAGAACACACCGAGTCTTACCAGCCAGCACCAGCAGCTCATGTTGGCATGTTGAAAACA